AGAGAGAGAGAGAGAGACAAAGTGCGAGCAGGGGAGGAGCAGAGAGAGAGGGAGACACAGAATCTGAAGCAGGCTCCAGGCTCTGAGCTGTCAGCACAGAACCCGATGCGGGGCTCAAATTCACAGACCACAAGATCATGACCTGAGCCGAAGTCGGACGCTCAACCGACTGAGCCACCCAGGCGCCCCTTCACATAAATTTTAATGGGCACCTATGGCTTTGATAATGGAAACCACCCTTCCCCCCCAATATATCACATTTCAAATGTGTTGTTAAAATTCCTAAAGCAGACCCCATTCTGTATTTGTTTTGCAGGTGGAGGATGCAATGCTGATGTTTGATAAGACGACCAACAGGCACAGAGGTAAGAGCCCCCGTGGAGGAAGGCTTCCCTTCTGTCAGTTGACCGTCTGTTGAAGGTCTGTATTCATGGAGGGACACCACAGCACAGAATCCAGATACCGGACAGTTAAAAATCGGCCACGCCCAACCCGTGTTCCGACACACCTTTCTAACCCTGGCTCTCTTGGTCTTTGCTAGACCTGAACACTAAGTGATCCGAGTGGAAATTATTCACAGCAATTACTCCGTTGAGTTCTCAATTTGCATTGGAGGAGGTGGTTTAGAAGCACACTGGCAACCTGAAGAGCCAGAAAAGAAGGTTTATTCGACCTGCGATTGCAGGATTGGCAGTGCCCTATGCACATCTGGAGTGTTTAGAGGGCACTGCGCCTCCTCGTATTTTCCCCTGTGCTCTTATTGTCCTATCCATGTTCTAGAAAACGGGTCTCAACTTGGGGTCTGTGAGCCTCCGAAATGGCACACGGAATGTTTTATGTTTGCGCTTTTCTTGGGAAGCGATGCGTAGCTTTGAACAGATTCTCAAAGTGGTCTCTGACCTCCATGCCTCCCGTTCCCCAAAAAGGAACACGTTGAAATGACTGCTTTAAACAGCAAATTGGACGAATCTAGGAAATCCTCCCAGAGGAAGTAGAGTCCAAGCTTATGGCTTAGCGTTCCATTCTCCTGCTCTCCGGAAACCCCTGGTATCTGGGGCTCCTAGGAACAGGGCGTTAATGGGCAGAGCCTCGGAAGGGAGGTGGCAGGAAGCAGCGTTCTTGAGAGAAGCCGGAGTGAGCAGTGTTTCCTTGCCACTCGGATTGCATTTAGATGTTTCTCGTGTTGTTTACATTCTTGCTGTCACCTGTGATTAGAGGCAGTTACCCAGCGCTGACTGTATGTCTCTCCTGTTGGGAGCAGGCAGGCTGAGTGAAAGGGAGGAAGGAGGGTGGGAGAAGGAGGGGCTGTCCTCAGTGTGCCTGGCAGTCCGGCTTCCTGTGCGTCCATTGACAGCGGCCTCAGAAGGGAAAGTGGAAAATCAGGCGGAAAACTGGGTCTTCGATGGTGTGTGTGGGGAAGGCATGGGGAGGGGTGGAGGATGAAGAGGTGGGGTGGGGGGGAGGCAAGGGAGGAAAAGAAGAGCTTACAAGTGTGGAATGATTGCTTTGTCCTCTGCCTTGCTCAGCATCACGAGGGCCGAGAGAGCAAGGGGCCGGGGGTGTGGAGACAGACAATTCATGATTATTCTCCACCATCATCCTTAGGGGAGGTACGGGGGGTTATCTGAGCACTGTTTTCACAGGCATCGTGTATTCTCATCTCCACCGCAGCGCCGTGACTTTGGGAAAATCACTTCACTCCTTTATCTTCTTTACCTCAGTTTATTCATCTGTAAAGTGGGGATAATATTAGTATTTCCCTCTAGGGTTGTTTGGAGAGTTGGAGTGCCACGCACATCACCTGTGCGCAGGTTATTATGATTGTTTTCACCATCATCACCTCCGTGTGGTGTGTGAGGTGACTGAAACTCAGAGGGGGTAGGGGATCCACCCAAGGTCAGAGCAGGGACTCCTCTCTAGGACTGCTGATTTCAGATTTGGCTCTTTCTCTGTGGTCTCCATGTGGGGACGGGTGCGTTAAGAAGAATGTTTTCATCTATTTACTTTCAGGGTGGGCGAGGCCCGTCTGAATGTGGCACTAGAGTTCAGTGCTAGAATTCACGCTCCTGGAAGATTCCTGAGTGGCCTCTATAGGCAGTAGTGTTGAATATCCACGAATAAAGGTATTTCTGAGCTCCTGCTCTGGGTCAGGCCGTGTTGGAGAGGAGAGTAAATCATCTTGTGCAAACCTCACAGCTGTGCCGGGGAAAGAGATGTGTCATCTGGGGGACGTGAGAGGGCCGGTGACTCTCCGTGTTACGTTACTCGGCTGATAGCAGACAGAGGCAGGTTCACACTGCGGGCGCCGGGCCCCTGAGGAAGTGCCAGGCAAGATTCTCCCTTATTTCTGACCCAGACGCCTCCTGCTGTGGGTGGAGCCTCTTTCCTTGCTCCCAGGCGCTGGGTGCCGTGATGGGGTGGTGGCCCCTCTGTCATTCCTGTCTCCAGCTGGAGGGAGGTCCGTTTTACGGCCCCCTGCTCAGAGCGGCTCCAGGGATGGCATTGATCGCTCTCCCATGACTCCTGGGGCCACTGGCAGGGAGAAGGGTGGGCACAGCCCCGAGCACATGCTCAGTGCACCCCAGCCTCGGCAGGGCCTGCCCAAGCGTCCTTCTGCCCTGCCAGAGGTGAGATTCCTGCAGTGGATGTAGGACCCTTTGCATAATTCGTGGAGCCAGAACAAGGTGAAAGACGGGGCCTCTTACTCAAAAGTTATTAAGAATTTCAAGGTGACAGAGCATTCAACCCAGGACAAAGCCCTTCTGAGCGTGGGGCCAGCCATGGGTGGCTGCACACCCAGGGGGCCAGCCGGAGTGGATGCGGTCCTGGGGGCCCCCGCTGGCGGGGTGGGGAAAGAGAAGGCAGGAGGGAAAGAGGCCCCAACATCCTGCGTCCCCTTTCCTCCTGTACAGAAGTCTGCTCCCTGGGGTTCTTTCTGTGTAGGGCTTTGGCCCCTACACACTTTCCAGCACCTCTGAATAGCTGAGGAGTTTCTCTTTGAACTGGGTGCTAAAGCTGGGTTAATACTTAAGTGGTTCAGAGCATTTCGGAGAGGAAAGAATTAAAAAAAAAAAAAAAAAGGCACATATCACAACAGAGGCACGAGTCCTGCGTGTGGGACAAGTGGGCCCCACATCCCTGACGGAATGTACATTTGGAATCAGGTGATAAGCCCGAGAACACAAAATCCTCCTGCAGCCACCTTGGCCCAACCTTACCTTCACCTCCTCAGCTTCCTGTTTCCCATTATCTTATCAAGAAGAAAGTGCTGCAGTAGCAGAAGTTAAGGACACCTCTCAGGCTGGCACTGCCTCCAGCTCTCCTCTTAAAGAGGTCCACACTGTTCACCCCGCGGGTGGCCACACAGCACGCAGCACGGCACCTTCCCTCTCTCCCCCTCGCAGCTCCCAACCCCGCCCCGCTGCGCAGCCTGGGGCTAGCGCACCTGTGCGCCCTTGGAGCTGAGACTGCTGCCTTCCAGGAAGGCTGCACGTTTGGTTGGGCCTGGGGTCCCGGGAGTCGGGTCTGCCGGGCTCACGGGACCCTCTCCGAATACTCTTGCCACTGTGAGCCAGAGCTCGGTGCGGAGTTTCCACTTCCCGCCGCACAGTGGCTCCCCCCCTGCCCCTGTCCCCCATTTGTTCCCCCAGGGACAGGGTGGCCCTCCGTTACATCTGTTCACAGAAGCGACCGCCTGTGTTTCTTCCCCTCTTACATCTGTCCTTGGACCTCCCTAGCACCCTGGGAAAGAATCCAGGGGAGAGGAGACAACAAGCCCTCCCGGGATGTAAGTCCTCCCCCCTGGAAGCAGGAAGAAGGTCATTCAGCACGTGACTCCCACAGGAGGTGTGGAGTCTTCTCCCACTTTCTCCTTCGAGCAGACCTCCTTCCGGCTCCTGCTGCTCCCTTGATGCCGAGTTAGGGCACCTTTCCTAACCTCTCGGGACACCTCCGGGTCCTCCTCGGGAGGGTGGGGGAGCCGGGACAAGCTCTGGGACCTGAAGTATGTTTTCTGGCTTTTTAGCCTTTTAACTGAGAGAATGCCCAAGATTAAGTCCTTTGTCATTCTTCTTGTTTTAGCTCGGAGAGGGAGGTAAGGGGCTGTATCTGCATCCCTGGAGATGGGGATTAGCACGCAGGAGTGCCCTCTCGGGGCAGCGGAGGGGCTGATCTGTGAGGCCCCGGGGAATTCTGAAGCTAGGGCCTTGCACAGCTGCAGTGAGAGGGCTGACCTTATACGCTGACCTGTCACAGGACGCAGCCCACCCTGGGAAGCACGTGTGACCTTGGGCTTGCCCTGAGGACATCCTAGAGGAGACAGACAGCTGGGGGCCCTCTTCCAGCAGTCCTGCCAGCAGATCCTGAAGGCGGGTCTGGGTATCCCGTGACGGCACACACCACGGTGGTACAGTGGGTTCTGTGCTGACCAGGCCATGCTAACCCTCTTGGTAGAAACCGCCAGCCCTTCCCGAGCAGTTATATCCCACGTGCTTAGCGCAGCGCCTACACATACTGTTGAATCTTTACGACGGTCATTGGTGAACCCAGCTGCCCGGAGTCCCCAGTTGGACGTAAACCCAGCCTGTCTGACCCGGAGTCCTTGCTCTTGGCTGCTTCGCAAGCATGGTGCTAGGCAGTGGTTGAAAGCAGGGAGATTGGTGGTTTTAAGTCTCAAGCACCTCCTCGTTACTGGTCCTTCTCCACCTGCCCTTCTTGCTGGACTACTGCGCACCTCCATTTCAGGTGGGAAAACTGAGGCATGTAGAGTGTTGGAGGGCCGGCCGCACGCAGGTGTCTGTAGCCAGGTGGGAGCCGAGCTTCTGAAGCCTTCCACGAGATTCTTTGTGCCCAAGGGGAGAGAAAGAAGGTGGCTTTCCAGTTTTTGCACAGTCCTTTCATTTGCTCTCTCAAAGCCTTTGGAGGCGGTCTGAGAAATATGGGGCTGATCATCAAAGGGTTTAATCGTTGGGGGAAAGTTTGTTGCTTTCTCCTTGCAAAACTCAGATAAGATCTTGAATTCAGCATTAGGTATTGATCCCAGAGAGGGGCTGGCGGGGAGGGTCTGGAGGGAAGATACAGCACAGTGTCCTTCCCGATTTGCCCTTTGGGAGGCACAAGGCTGAGGGGTGAGCCGGAGGGAGTGAGGGAGGGTGGAGTGGTTTGGATCTGTCCCCACTGTCATCAGCCCCGTTTGAGCAAGCGGAGGAACGCGGGGATGTTGGTTGCTGAAACACATCTCACATTCACCTCCTTGCCGGGGAAGGGAGCCCCCGCCGTGAGTGTCCTTCGGGGGGGGGGGGGGGGGGG